AAGGAAAGGCAGGAAGGGGACTGGCAGACACGCATCACAGTCTTCTTGAAAATATACAGTGGATTTTATCACATGGCCAGTTGCACTGACTGGGGTTTCCCCATCTTTTCCACTAATGCCCTAAGTCACAGAAGAGAGAGAGTGTCATGGAAAACATCACAAGCCAAACACCATAAATAATTGTAAGTGATTTCACTCTCCAGGCAGAAGAGGGATGAACCCAAACTGGGCCTAATTCAGGAACTGGGAGACTGGCCTAAATGATGTTTATTACAGTCCAACAAGGAACCATTGCATAAGCAGTTTTCCTGTATTTCCAAGGCCTCCCCTGTACAGAGGTGTCCCAATGCAACTGAAGTGCAATTTTAAACACTGCTCAGCTAAACCCTTGGAAATGGGTAGGCACTTTTAATCGATGGAAACCTGGTTAAGCTTCCATTAAGAAGCAGTGGTGCAAGCTACACCAAGGTAACTGGTTTGAAACTGCTGAAAGCACGTCCAGGCATGACTCGAGCACCTGCTTAGCCACATCAGTCTCAGTTACATGGGTGTGACTTCTGTGTTGAGAGACAGCCCTGGTCCTACATTTTAATTCTCCAGAGTCTGATCCGGCACTCTTCAGCATGACTCAGTTTATGTCAACTTAAGCAAGGAGGGGGCTTTCAGAACATACACCCTGCCCTGCTTGCAGCTGCTTTGTTATACAAATGGGATCACTCTCTGAATCTCTCCTTACCTCAAGGATGGGAAGGCTCATACAATCATAATTAGGGAATCCCTCCAGAAAGGTTCCCAGGAAGTGGAGGACTATGGTTTATTTCCAAGATACTGTACAGCTGAGGAGGAGAATAGCTTTTCGTGTCAGTGCCCAGGATCAACTCCACCCCGAAGTCTTGAAGAATTCAAGCCCTTATGACAAAGCCATTTACACTACAGAACATTTAACCAACAGAGTGAGACTGTTTTAAAAAAATGTATTTAAATATTTATTTTAAAAACAATCGAGGTTCATGACTCCCCTTAGTGTCCACATCTTCCAGCCAAGCTACCCTCTCCACACAGCCCAGAGTGCCTTCTTCTGGGATGGGCTGCTGGATGTGCCCCAAGGCATTCATGGTAGTCAGAGGTAGTTCCTCTCAGAATGGCCGAACATTGGCAGGGGCTTGGGCTTCTCTGTGTGCTCCTTTTCCTGTCTTCAACACAACAGTTTTCTTTCTCTTTCCCACTCCAGGTTCTTGTTTCCCCACACCATGGTGCACTGTCTTTCCACATGCTGTGGAAATGGACTATTAGCCTGTCTCTCATTCATTCTTCAATCTGTGTCATCCATAGCAAAGGCTCCAAAGGCCATTCTGGGTTATTTGCATAGCAACATATTTTAATAATATGTTTTGGGGCATATTATTCAACTCCTGCATGTGCCTCCAGTTTTCAGCATGAGCCCAGCCCAATAAATATACCTTAAGTCAATGCAGTCCTCTGCAAATCACTCCCTGTGACTCCAATTATTCCTTTTCTGCACCATGTGAACTGGACCACAGACCAAGAGGAACCATTCCAAGGTTACCTAAATGCTGTCATAAGGGACTGAAAGGCCAATGTTGTAGTTGTAACCAATCGCTTCATCGTAGGAAGAGCGGCAGATAGGAAGGACGCTTTCTACTGCCAACTGGTCCACTGAGAATTCATACGCATAGATGATTCCACGATGCCTGTACAAAACACAACCGAGAAGGTCAATGCACCATTTTTATTTGCATACAAGTGAGATCACAAGTTTTTACCAATATCCAACACTAGCAAGAAGGTATGGCTTGCTATATAAGATCAGCTTTCAAGGCTGGTTTCTTGCTTCCAAGCAACAATCAAAACCTGATGCTTCAGAAAACAAGTATCATTCCTAAGGCAATAGCTCCAATACAAATGTAGCCATTTGTGCAGTATTGTATGGAAGCAAATTCTGTCCTGACTCTTGTAGGGCTCTATGTAGAGCCTCAAGATGAACTTTGATTTACTGTTACCTGCTCTAAATGTTCTAATATAATGCAGGAGCCAAGAACATGAGTACACTATAGCTTGGTACAGTACAAGCTATGTTAACCGGCAGTTTACTAACTGGAATGCTCTATTAAATGGAATTTCCAATATCCCCAAATACAAATCCTCACTTTAGCAACAGTAATCTTTGTCAAGTCCACCCGGCATGCGCATCAAGTATTTCTGTTGTTTATTCTGTGTGGGGCAGGGCAGCGCTGGGCTCTTCCTGGTGGGGGTGACTGCAGCGCACTCCTATCTTCCTTGATAGGTATAAATCTCAGATAACTGGAATTTTTAGAAAACCAACACCCCCCTTACCCCACTCATGCTGGATAGCAAAGCTTTTACTGTACTTGGAAACCAGAGTGGAAATAATAAAATGCAATGCAAATTCCAAAACCTAAGTTTGGGCTTTTTCCCCTTGGAGGAAGATGCTTTCAAGCAAGGCAAGGGGCTGCATTCTCTATACTACTTCAGGGGCATGTGTGTTGATCCGATGAAGAAGAAACAATCTTTTGAGTTTAGAGGGAAAAAGAGCAAACTGAAAGATTTATTTGTAATAGCTCTCAAATGCTGCACATGTATCTGATTACTGGATTACCCAAGTGTTTAACAGATTACATTTTCAGACTTTTAGACTTAGCAGTCAGGTGCAACAAAGGTGGCCCTTCCAGAGCCAGCTAATTCACCTGCGGTGAGCTGTCAGGTCGTCATCCATGATGCTGGCACCTCGGGGGTTCTTCTCATCTGGGATGTTTGCTGTGATGAGACTGTGAGAGTTGAACCAAATATACCGGACTGGGTGCCTACAAATTAGACAGCATTACTGGGTGGGAGAATCCATTTACACATGAGACACCTGAGATCTAAGAGGAATGCAGAAATTACTACAGATACTATTAGATAACAATTCCCTAATACAGTGTTATATGTTTAAGTCAGAGGCTGAGAAACCTGACCCTCGCTGCCTGTAGGTAGTATCCCTGCATAAAACATAGTTTTAGCACCATCTAGTGGAGTCTAGTTAAAATGTAGAGGAAAGTGCCAGTCAACCGCAGGCACCCTGGCAGTGCTGTGAAGCCACACCAAGAGAGTGCAGACTATGTTTCATTGGCTTTTCTAGGATTATAGTAGCTCCCACACACAAAGAGCAGAGCCTCTCAAAGCCAGTTGGGCCCATGATTCTTATTTCATGCCTCTTTGGTCATAGTCATATGCTGTGAATCTGCTGGGTGGTATCACCTGCCATTCCCCCCTCAGGTAAATAGGTTAAAAAACCACACCAGAACCCTTATATCTATTTTTCCCCATCAGTCAGGAGTCTTTCAATTCCCAGAGGAAAAAATGGCACATCAAACTGAGCCTGTTACACATCCTACCATCTCCCCTGCTTGTTTTCTTCTCCATCCCTTACATGGCTATTGACACCAAACAATTTTTTCCCTTCCTAGAAAGGCCCTCACTACTGTTCATCTGGATGATACTTTGAGGTTCATCCACACATTAATAATTTTACTGTCACTAATTCTAATGACTCCAGCCATACCTTTTGATTCCTTCTCAATCCTTGTAGCTTAGCAGTTAGATGTCACCTTCCTTCCCTGACATCCTCAATAAAGTGTTATGTCAGAAGGCAATCAATGCAACATTGTCCCTAATGCATCAACTGCATTACAAAGAGCACTGTAACTTTTGAGGTCAAAACAGATGAAGAACACCTGCTATTAATCAATGGCCCGACTTGAACTCTATGGCTGTAAGTACCTTGCCTCATCCACCTCAGCACTGGTGGGGAGGAGGGAAATCAGGCTGCATCTCTTCATTTTATCAAGAAGTATTGGTGGGGCAACTGCTCTGAGGCTGGCAAAAGGCAAAATCCTAAGGTTTATACGCAGGCAAAACTTAATGGCAGGGGAATTTTACCCATGGAAGGAAGTCATTCAGATCTGGCCCTTGTAACTAATGGTTCCTCTCCACTCCCAAGGATTGTTCAAGCAAACTGTGCTTGAGGTATAGACAACCATGGGAGTGTCAGTCTGCCAGAAGTATCATTTTTGGCTCTCTGATTTCACCTTTTTAACTGAATACATGAAGGTGCTATGAAGAGAGAGAGAAAGAGAGAGAGAGGGGAGGTGTGTGTGAAGGGGGAGTGAGCTGTGTAAGGAGTTTATGTTATTTTATATATAAAGTCCTCTCTGTCTCATCCTAACCCAGGAACATGAGATGCTGCACAAACAGTCAGTGAAAACAACCAAAACGTCAGGCCAAAACTACCAAAAATTCAGGAGTGGCAAAATTAATTTAACAAAAGCTCAGACCAAGGGAAATTTTATCAGACTCTGACATTTTAAGAAAATTCCATCTCCCAGCACCAATACACATCTGCATACCCCGCTCTGCTGGCTACTAGCAGCAGATTGCAGCCCTGTCCTATGGAACTTATGCAGAGAAGGGAAGTGACAAGTTTCATGGCCATACCTCAGAGTAATGCAAAAAATAAACCGTGAAATATAAACTGGATTTAAGAACTCCTTTTACTGCAGTAACTGAGCGGTAAAAGTAACTTACTGAGGCAAACGTGGCATTTAAGAATAAATACTTTTAGCCTGTAAATGCTGCTTTAATTAAAGAGACATAAAAAACCCCACTTGAAAGTTGTGGTGCAGGTGCACACACATTACCCCCCCCTACCCGCCCCCACACAGGTTAAGCCAGTTGCAACCCTCTCCAGACCAGATGATTACAGCCAGGCTGGCCAGTAGTTCCATGAAAGACAGCACAGATGGAATTGGTGCACTGTCACTGGAAACTTTAGGCATATGATGTTCAGGAACAAAGTGACAACTTGCCAATTCAGTCATTCCCACTGGCACCTGGATCTGAAAGTGCCATGGCAGTAAAACCCATCAAATAGACAAAGTTACCTGGCGTGAATCTCCCATAGCTTGGCGCCCATCCGCTGGTCCCACACACAGACTAGGCCCTCCTCTCCTCCGCTAACAATCTTCCAGTCGTCCATCTGCACCACAGACACTCCTAAGTGGTGAGCATAGAGGGAGCACAAGGACTGGCTTTGGCGGAGGTCGTACACCCTGACCCTGAACAAAAGGAAAGCAAGAAGACAGAGGGACAGCTGTTACTCTGGCCTGTGTATCCTAAAGTTCATGCACTCCTTGGTTTCGTTAGCACAGAATGTGTCAGTAACACTGCACCTGCAAAATCCAGATTTCTCATAAGGAAGAGCTTGCAATTCACAGGCAAAACCAGAAACCCAGTAAAGTTAGCAGTTTAAAACTATCAGCTATTTCTATTACCCTATTTGTTGCATATAGTTTCATACTATATCTGTTTTCCTTAAGAGATTTCAAGAGTCTAGACCAGTGGAAACCAAATTTTTTTAGCAGGGATGCCACAAATTAGCCCTACCCTCCCTGGCTGCCACCCTGATCCTCTTCTCCTGCCTAATCTCTTGCTCTGTGTTCTGCCCTGTGCTCCCTGCCTGATCTCCTACTCTGTCTTTTGCTTTCTGCTGTATCTGCTGTTGTGCTGCCTGTCTCCTGCCTGATCTACCACATACCACACACAGAGGCTGCCCTTGCCACTTGTGCCACAGGTTGGCCACCCCTAGTCCATACTATGGAGGGATCCCTTTGGCTTTTTTCTGTCAAACACTGGAGTACATTAAATTGTGTACCTTAATTCTCAACTGCTAGGACACAGACACAGCTGATAATGAAGATCTGCCCCATTAGGATTAGTAACAAGCCCAGTTTGCCTTCTACAGAGATGTTTCAGAAAGTAATGATAATTCTGAAATAAAACCATTTTTTGTGTAGTAAGTGGGAAACAACACAGCAGCAACGAACACTGATGTCAGCAATATTGAACTCATTGAAGACTATGTAGAGTAGGGAAAAGTGCACACAGAATGGATTTACTTCAAAACTGCTGTTACTTTCTGAGACACCCTTGCAAGTCCCCAGCAAAGATGACTTTGTGAGCTAGCTGGGGTCATATAAAGCCACAGCAAACAGCTGCGTGGGAGAGCAAAGGTGTGCTACTTTTTTCAAAGGGAAGCACTTCTCAGACCAGCTGCGCAGGACTGTGGCTGTGCTCCAGCCGACTGAAGAAGCTGTGCCTTTTGACAAAAGCTGCAGCAAGCAGCCTTTTTTTTTTTCTTCTTCAAATGAGTGACTCATTTTTAATTTGGCAGCCCACTGTGAATTAAACAGGTTGTGAACCACCTGGATACAAATGATCCAGGCTCTACTCTATTAACGCCATTCAATGGATTCCCATTTGAAGCTAGAAAACCTGCTAATTCTTGCTTGGCAATCCTTTTGCCCTTTCCAGACAGGCTACTAAAGAGAACCCCAGTATATGAACTTATCTTCCATGCTGTGTTTAAAATCTCCCCATTTCACTGTCATTGTACCGGTTTGGATCCTTAAAGAAGACTGATGGAACCTGTTTCAGCTCTTTAAAAGCCTTACTGTGCCATTGGATTTTGCCATGTTTTGTAGAATCTGTCTCTCTTCTGTTTCTTGATTATTTAAAAAAGCAGATGTAGCTTCCAGTACTATTACAAGTTAACTGAAAAAACTCCCTAACTTTAAGGAACTGAGCTTCTCTGCACATGCTATTAAAAGTGAATGTTAAAGTTAGATAAAAGAACTATTTCTTTATCTTTGCATCATGAACACAGAGTCATATGAGGGTATTGCTAAGGCACCTGTCTCTTTACTAGCTAAGCATTACCCATAAAAAAGGTAAAACACAATATGCTTTTCAAAGACATGGAACCAAGCATTACACCACTTAAGAGAAAAAAAAAAATCAAAGGATGAACATGTTACCACACACAGGAGTCAACCATTAACAGTGAAATGGCCATCACCCTCAGCTCATCAGAGATCAAAATCAGAACTTTCAAAAAACAGCTCAGAATTTCAACTGCTGGATCAATCAGCCAAAATGTTCAGTATTTTGTGTCTAAGACATCTGTGGCTATACTTCTATAAACTTTGCAATTCTGTCTGCATTAGCAGAAAGGTTCTTGCATGTTTTTGCCTCCAGGTTTTGCCTTCACGGCAATCTTAACAATATCCTGCTGGGAGATGACTGCAAGTTTATCTATGATACGGGTAATTTTCAACTTTTACTTTCTACTTTCAACATATTGATTCTGATCTCTGCCATACGGTTCTTACAAATGTGTACATTCACTAATTTCAGTAAAGCTGCTCCTAATTTAGGCTAAGGAGCAGCTCTTAATTTCAGAATCAGGCTCATTGGGTTCCACTTCGTTACCAGTACACTAAAGATGAAGCTTCAATTCATGTAAACTTTAGTGCTTTGGAAAAGAGCTACTTTCCTTATTTCTATGTTTAATAAGGATCCTCTCCTGAATTGGGACCAAAATAAAAATGGTAATGACCATAGCATCCAAGTGGGTGAGGAAGCAAAAGAATGAGATCAAACCCACTGAAGAGCAAATAGCCAGTTAGAGGGAGAAACCTCTATAAAGTCTCATTTTGAGATAAAGAACTGAGTTTGCCAGATGTTTAGTCACTTGTTTGTAGACACTGACAGGGTATGTGTCTGTGTGGAGGTAAGGATTACCTTGCACCAATTCAAATCAGTCTCTGAGCTCACCTAAATACAAATCTACATTGCTGCCTGAAATCTAACAGTAGCAAGTTAAAAACCAACAGAGAGGGATCACCTTTAACACATATATTTTAAGATCAAAGTGATAAAATATAGTATATGAGGGAACACAAAGCCCAAGTAATAAGCATTCTGATGTAAAATACATAAAATTTTAGAGGAAGATCCTCTGGGCATGAAGAATAACAAGAATGGAAGAATCAAACAGACACAAGCTCATAAAGAAAAAAGATTTTCCAAGGCTTTAATTGTATTATGTTCACTATTCATGGTTTGATCCCAGTGCCGTTTCCAGGAAGCCCCCCTTTCCATGCTCTAATGAAAACTGCACCATAGGAGTTTGCAAATAACTCTATTCTGACAATCAAAACAAAAGAAGACAGAACTGTCCAGAGACTCCAACAGAGTAGAATCCATCTGATAGGCAGGAAAACATGCTGGAACAGAAAGGGGAGCACGCTCTGTGCAGTTCTGTAACAACACCTACTAATAACTTACCAGAACAGTTACAGGGTGAAAAACAACTAGCTTTCCCCTACTCGAGCAGTGAGACAGCATCAGGCAAGCCTTAGAACTGTGTATCGGGTAAGGGAAGAGTATCTCTGAAGTGCCCTCACTCCCAGCACTCTTCCTCTTTGTCCATAAGTGCCCTGTATGATAACTGAGGTTTCTACTATTTAGCAAGCACAGTTGGAAGTGAAGCTCAGACTGCTTCCGGGTTCTCTCCCTAGCAAGGGCCCAGCTTTCAGGCACTTTTCCATCATGACACCCTTGGAAGATTCAAAAGAACACGTGGATTGTTTGGATTTGTTTAGAAAAGAAAAGGCAGTATCGTAAACCTGATGTGAGGCTCTAAATAATCGCAGCCTGCTGTGTCTCTCCATTTCTTCTGCCACAGCTGGGCTCAGTGGGAACACCTCAGATCTACAGGAGTTCAAAGGAGTCAGAAGCAAGGTGTTCTCTGTGACCAGGCCTTTGGCTCTGATATTTGATTGCTCCAGTATAAGTCTGGTCAGGTCTAGGGGAAATGTAAAACTCATCCTCTCATGCAAAGCTTTCCAGCAGTGGCAGGAGCTGGATTCCAGTGATACTTATTTTTCCAGTGCCATAAGCTTTTTAAGGTTCCTTCAAGGAACAAAAGACAGCTGCTGTGTAGTGAGTGCTCCTCATTCTTATGATGCCACCGGGTACTTTTTAATTGATGTGAATGAAGTGCTCTCAGTCAGCATTAACTACATCACCAAGATTTCAGGATTGACTTAAAAAAAAACTTTTTGTGGAATGTACCAACAACTTACTCCTTTTCCCAAGGGATTGCTTTTATTTTTTTAATCAGATATATCAAACAGAAGACTACCAGATAACAAAGATCAAATTTGAAGCTCAACAATCCTGAGTACATCCCAAACTAACTCCAGTACTACGTTCCCCTGTTTATGCCATCTAAACCCATTAAAGGGAATATATACTATTATACCATTTATATAGTGAACCTATAGCATTTATATAATGATATAGTTGTCCTGCTGAAACCACTCCTGCTGCTAATGCCCTTAAAGTTATTGCTAGTGAGGAATTCAACTTTGATTTAAACTACAGAAGATCTCCTATTTAAGTGAGCAACCACTGATGTCTGTTTTCCAGTTAACAGAGCTGTAAAGCCTTAGCTCCAAATTCTTGTCAATAAAATGTAAAAGATTTTTGTGTTTACAACTGGAGAAGACAGTACATTGGGGAAAATCACTTTTAACTCCTTAAGTGAACATGGGGATTACATTTACCTGTGCTCCTTCTGTCCCCTGCTCATTCTGGCATAACAACATGCAAGAGAATACAGGTGGGTACACTGAGATCCACAGGATCTTTGGAAAATGTCTTATCTGCTTTGCTAAGAGAAAAATCCCCCAGGATTCAGTTACATGCATCAAACTTCAGAGATTTATTGCGTTTTCTTTGCTGACAAAGTCTGCGGTTTGCTTACACTACCTATTCACTAGAAAGGAAAAAAATGTTTGACAAAATAATCATTTTTGCAAGCTGCTACACTGGCGGGAAAGAGGTCTGGGATTTGGCAATGGAAAGGATCCGCCTCACAATCTGATACCCACCGCAGAACCAGACCACCACCTGCAGTCTGATGCCCAGCACTGAGGGGAGGAGGGAAGGAGTGGGGAGCCATTAGACACTGGCCCCTAGCCATCCCACATCTCTTTGGTACACTGGATCAGACCTTGCAGATAACTAGCCAAAAAAAGAAAACCTAAAAATTGGACTCAAAGGGTCTTTTTAAGCACTTTAATCCTTTCACACCGACTGTTCCCAGCGCGTCCGCTTCTGGCACTGGATATCGAGCAGGGAAAATCCAACTCCCCAAGCCAAGGAGTTAAAGAGAAGGCTGCTAATCAGCTAAATAGAAGCTGGAATCTGTTCATATGAAAGTCTCTTTTTTGTCACCTGAGGGACACCGCAGTGTTCCGAAATACACTCTTGACATCATTTGGCAGACGGGCTATTCTCATCCTACATGATTCATCCCTTAGGTTATTTTTTTAATATCAGAAAGTGAGCTTTTAAATGCCAGACTAATTTTGCGGGTGGTGGTGGGGAAGTGGAAGATATTCCAAGTGGTCTCGCTGGGCTGTACACCAACTGTGTCCACCAAATGGCTTAAAAAGAAAGTCTTCCCATGGTGCTTTCAGAAACAAAGCAAAACAGCAGCCACATCCAACTATTACCTAATACTTTGTTCTTGAAGTTCACACTGGCTGGGCTTGACATTTTAGGAGAGAACCAAAATTCTAACAAGTCCAGCTGTAGGACAGCAGGTAATCAGAGAGGAAGATGACCCCAGTGTTAGATAACGCTGCTGCTCCTAGTTGTACATACCTCCTATCTTTGTTGCCAGTGATAAGCATGTATGGAGGGCTATCCTGGAGGTTGACACATGTGAAATCACCCAAGGAGCTGCCTAGCTGTGTTACACACTGACTCGTTTCCAGGTTGTAGAGAAGTATCTGGCAGAAAAAAAACAAAAAACCTACATGTCAGGTAAAATATAGCAGGCCACACCAAGTACATTTTAGTGTAGTATAAACCAAAACATGATTGTCATGGGCCAAATTTTATTAAAGAGATGGTTTGCAAACCCACCTCTCCACCTTCTGGGATGTAATCAGGATACAGGTACATCACTATGGAAGAGAACACTAGTAGAACACATTCTGGAGTAACACAAAACCAGACTAACATTATAAGAAGTTGTTATGAATCAGGGATGTGTAGCCTAAACATTAGCTCTGGACTGCCAATATAGGAGGGCACAAACCTTGGCAGGTCAAAGGAAGTGAAATTGGTTTTGTTTTGGTAAATTCTTTGAAGCGATCAGATTTTATATTTTACTTGTAATAGTATTGGAAGCTAATTCTACCTGTTTTCTAAAAATAATGAAGAAACAGAAAAGAGATTCTGTAAAAGATGGCAAAAGAGAAAAATAGAGAATATAATTGAATGCATACATCTAGTCATAACAGACACCACACAAAGCCCCTTCATAGTCAGCTAGACAGACTACCATATCATTCAGCTTAAACCACAATTCTTTCCAGAAAAAAATGTACCTACTGTTACTACAAGTAATATCCAAGTGCACTGCAAAAAGACTACACATTTTCCTACTTGTTTAATTCTTGCGTTTGAGAGCACAGTATGCTATTTCATTGTTTCTTCTGCATAGACAATTTCATCTTTCATTTAGGGAAAGAGTAGTTCTAAGGAAAGCAACATGTGATTGTCAAACCATACAAATCAGCAAGTGGGCTCAGCAGCAGCCAAGGTACTTGAACTTACATTTAGGTCATTTTGTGAAACTGTTGTCCCTTTAGACCAATCAATCAATCAATAAATACAATCTCTGCCAATCCAATATTAAGGTTAGACAGTTAAAATGTCAAGGAAAAAAAGAGGCAAGGTTTCTATGGGAACATTAACATAACCATCCTGCATGCATGGTCTTTTCAACTTCCATTTTTCTGGTTTTGTGTGTAAATTAATAAATGTTACAGTATGACTTTTCAGCAGCACAAAAAATATACACTGTGAGAAAGTCACATTTGGATCATTGTAGGAACCTTCATATTTGCATCATATAGCTTTTACATTTTAACAGTACATCATTGCTTTGTTGACAGCTTTTTAAAGAAAAATTCAAAGGAAAGAAAAGCATTATCTGTGCTTAACATAAATTAGAATTTTGCTGGCTGATTAGCTTTGAAGTTGAAACCTTACCAAAGTAAGGTGGATTAACCATCTAATTTTGTCTCCAGTTTTGTGAAAGGTCAAATTAACCTACCTTGAGCAAACCTTTTGTGATGGCTGTCTCTTAGCAACAGAAAGTTTTGTTTTTTTAAAAAAAATAATGAACATGAACATTTAGAGAATTTGAGGAACGCAGCAAAATTTGAGACCTTACAATAACAACTGCCATTTCTCCTTATCTTAAGGCTAGGAAAGCAGTGTGTCTACGAAGGGTTGGTTGGGCACCAACCTTTTCTTCTAAGCACTTGTTTCCATCCCCTCAGAATCAAAATACAACTCAACTTACTTCTGGAGAAAGAGAAAAATAAACCTTCCAAAACAAGATGAATGAGAGGCCAGGAAAAAGTGCTTATAAACTGAGTTACAACACTGTCCATAAAGAAGCAGTATATGTCTCAGGCAGGGGCAGATCCAGGATTTGGTAAAGGGGAACGCTGCAGGAGAGGGGTGGCTGCACCCCCTGCTCCCTGCCTCCTCCCCCTACCCACCCACCAGTGCAGGCAGTCCATGCTGAGGAGCCCTGGGCTTTTTTAAAAGTCCTCAAAGCAGGTAAGCGTCCCCCATCCACCCCTCTCCTGCCATTGCTGCTTTCCTGGAGGTGGGGGAAGTTTCAGAGCCACTGAAACCTGGTCCAGCCAGGCTGAAACCTGGTCCAGCCACTGAAACCTGGTCCAGCCAGGCTGTGGGGACTAGGCTTAGCTGGGACAGCCACAGTCACAGTGGCAGCAGCAATCAGGAGTGGGCTTCCTCACCCTGCCCGGTCCCTGCAGGAGCAGGCACCAGGAAGTGGCACCCCTGGCCATGGCCACTGCAGCTGTTGCTGCCCTAGGAGAGCTCAGTCTCCATGCAGCACAGCTGGAGAGGGCAAGAACAATGCTGAAGATTCCCTCACCCAGGACCAGGGACCACGGGAAAAGCAATAGCAGGAGGGGATGGGAGGAAGGAGAGGAGAGAGGACATTCCTCTAAGCAGGGAGGATAAGCGAGGGGGGATTATTACCTGCTTTGGGGACTATTTCAAAATCCCCAGAGGCTCCAGCAGCATGGTCCAGTTGAAAAGGGGGTACAGCTACACCACTGCAACCTCTCTGGATCTGCCTCTGATCTCAGGCAACCATTTCAATCCTGTGCATTTATAACTTGCCAGTGAAACGCAGCCTTTTCTGAGATGCAACACAGCCAGCATACTATACAACACTGGTAAAAATGCTGTTTTAGCCAAAACACTGTGTTAAACTATTTTTTATTGTGAAAGTACAGAGGAAACCAAGGCATGTGTTTTGCAGGCAACCCCTCTCTTTTGAAAGATTTCACATGAAAGACAAAACAAATGCTGCTGAATTCTGTTTATGTTTGAGGAGGATTTGTGGCAGTTGGCCAACTAAGACTCCAACCTAGTTGTAGGAATCAAGACCCTTCCTTTCTAACTTAATGCTTAGCTCCTGTGATGCAGGGCCTCTTGTTGCTCCCATGAAACTCCCCTGGGGCTGATATTTAGAAGTATTTGTTGACTATTAATTCAACAAATAGATCTTCGCTCCAATTCACCTTTTAAACACGTAACTGGGAAATGATTTGTAAAATTTGCTTCATTATGAACAGGGAAGTGCCCAATGAAAATTTGCTGCTTCCAATTTTATAATCTGTTTCTTAGCAATTCCTGAATACAATTATTTTTCACACTCCTTGCAAAGTGTCATTTTGAAAAATAGCTTTGCCAGTATTTTAACTGGGCAAACATGCTTTTAATTTTTTTAATTTATGCTTGCAAAGTTGATAGATAATTGAACCTTTTAATCTTTCTGTTTCTATAAATATCTTACACAAAGCAAAGGTTCTGGTCCACTGGACCTTCCAAGCTCATGGTACTAACGAGGACACAAATGGACAAGTTCTGTGTCTCCTTTCACTCTTTCCTCACATTGTTTCCCCTACCCTTTTTTTTCTGTGTTTTGTGTTAGGCATCTGTTTTTCTGACCTAAAGCCCTCTATTATGAAAAAACGTTCATTGCTGTTTTCAGTATATAGTTACATCATCCTTTAACTGCTCAGACCAAATTTCAGTTGAAATCTTGCCATCCCAAAAAATCCCAAATATTTGTTATAAACCTATTTGTTACTTTTTTTTTTCTTGGCCCTTTAGTTGTCCATAAGTTTCAGCTAAAAAGACCATATTTTGTTGCATGCAACATGCCCCATAGCCACACCACTTTGTTTTTGAAAGGCAGGATAAAGAAAAGAAGATATTTTGTTACAGTAAGTAACAGAGTAGCAGCAGATAGGGAGCCCAGGTCACTCCTTGTTCTGGTCCCTGTGGATCCTAGGAAGACTTAGCTTTGCTTTTGCTTGGTAGATGCTTAAGTGGTAGAAACTTGTTACCATATTTCTTTGCTTATAATGCACATGCCAATTTCCAGCAGCTGTCTTTTGGAGAGAGAAAGTTGTGTGTTGTATGTGAGAGAATGTGGTAACTCTATGCCTGACTGCTAAAACCTTAAAAATAGTGGGCTTATAACTGCAGTGATGACAGAATATTGAAGTTACTGTAACACATCTGCCCAGCTCTCTGTAATACCCACCAGATAACAAGGATTTTTTTCTTTTAAAGGCCAAAGATAATGAATGAAAAACCTGGTCACTTGGGAGCTGAAATAAGGGCCCATGTGTTAAAGGGGAAATAAAGTATAAGGTCTTTAGGAGGTTTATAATCTTATAATGCACGTAGCAAAGGGATTACCCTTCTGAAGACATTTATAATCCTGTAATGGACACATAAGACTAGTGACCTAATAGGCAAAGAACCAAGAATTTCGGGGTGTGAACTGGGGTACTTTGGGGTAACATGTAACAAGGTAATTGCTTCTCACAACAGAAATTTTGGTGCAGAAGGAGGGAAAGGAACTATTTAAATATTGCATAAATTTATCAGGGACTAAAACACAAATCACAAAATCTTTACCTGCTAACATCTGTCAAATGAAAAAACCTAAGTTATTGGACAAGAGTCAAGTGATCTCCTAGAATGTTTAATAATTCAATAAGCCAGAAATATCCAAAGAGTACCTTTACCATTACGTTTAGTTAAAGACCACAGAGATTAGAAAACACATTATCTATCTCAGAGGCGGTTCTTTCCATGTTACAAGTCCCTTAACGACCTTTACCATCTCCCCCTCGCTCGCTCTCTCTCTCTTTTAATAAGGCTGAGCAAATGGGACTTCATTTTATCTGATTGCCACAGACTAGTGATATTAATTATTCATGCTCATACTCTCCCTTTTGTTAAGACAATGCATTAGACTAATTTCCCTCTTTATTACATGAGTTGGGTGAGTCTCAACCTGTGGCCACTGTTCTCAGATGTACTGAGAAATAGGTTGGCAGATGTATTAGAAGAGGGAGTGGGTAGAGAATGGAAAACCTACTGTAGTTTAGGAAACTGCACATCAGTAGGTGTTTGGAAATGTTTTAAAATGCAGTTCTAGTACTTAATAAAGAGCAACAAATTAATGAACAAAGAATTACCATAGTCAGACCAGGTTGGCCCGTGCGCTATGTTAGATCTTATACTTTGGTACTATCAAACATGGCATAAAGAATCTAAAATATATTCAAGAAAGAGAAAGCTACTGAAGGAACTAGCATTCATGGACCTCTCCCATGTACATCCAATGCCCCAGCATGTAGCTAAGGATACTCTG